GCTCTTCCTTATCTTAGTTCATCCTGTATATTGCTTTGATATGTGGGGCAAGCCTAGGCAAGGTAAGATTTTGAGGGGCCTTGGTGACAATCTTATGTGGGCATGACAAAAAGGAAAAAAGATTAGATAACCCACTAGTCTATGATTCATTTCTAAGGTACACAGTAGCAAAATGATAAAAACTTATGAGGAAAGGTTGAAAGAACTAGGGTTATTTAGCATGAAAAAAAAACTAAGGGGAGATTTGATAGCAGTCTTTAAGGGCATTTTTACACATGCATGCATACAGTTGTATAAGCAGTGAAATGTGCATCAGTACTGAGAAAATGGCGGCAGGGTGCTTTTTGAACTAAAACACGTTGGAGGTGATTTAGTTCAAAAGCACACCACTACCATTTTCTGCACACTGACACACATTTCACTGCTTACACAACTGCACAGGGCGCAATGTAGTTTGCTTCAGGTTGCATATGGAGCAGACTTGATTAATCCAGTCTGCTCCAGCACAGCGGATCTCTGGCGTGGCGCTGGGGAAAAAGTATGTGTATAAATGCCCCAAAAATCTTAAGGGTGATGATAGAGAGAGTGGAAATGGGCTTTTCTCTGTGGCTGTAAGGACATTGCTAGGAGCAACTGACTGAAGCTGTAGCAGGGGAAATTTTAGGCTGGAGTTTAGGAGGAACTCCCTGACTGTTAGGGTGATCAGACATTGGAACAGGCAACCCAAAAGAAACTGTGGAATCCCCATTCTCAGAAAGTTTCAAGAGCTCATTAGACAGACACTTTGCTGGGATGGTTTAGTGAGGGATAACCCTGCCTTGAGCAGGGAGCTGAAGCAGAGGACCTAATGAGGTCTCTTCCAGCTATATTTTCCTATGATCTATAAACTTGAATAACACGATAAACTTATGTACCTAACAGTTATTCTGTGTTTGTGTTAGCACAATTTAAATAAAACCATTCTTCTTCCAGCCCCCCAAGTCCTTTTGCTTGCACACCTGGCATAAACCAGCCTATTTATGAGCATCAAATAACTGTATTTTAGAAAACCGTAGCTGTCAACTGAAGAAAGATGGAAATTAATGGCAGAAGATGCAACAAGAAACCTGAGGCTAGTTTTGCCAAGTCTATGCAAATGCAACAGGCCTTGTTAGCTCTTCAAGTTGCCCAATTTTAATTTAAAAAACAACTGACGCACAGCTTGCAGAGTTTTCAGTAATGAGAGACAATTTATTTAAGGGCCCTGGTAGCCAAAAAAACATCCAAAACCCTGCAAGTACAACTATCTTTAGCAGAGATTAAGATATTTTAGTTCTATATTATTGCAGTCATTAAAGTGTAGTATTTTAAACCCATGCTTTAATTCATATTAACTTTTGCCCGTTAAAACCACTTTTAATTAGATTTAACTCTAAAGAACCAAACCAGGAGCTGTGACAAACACTAAATATGTCATATTTAGAAATATTAATATATGCCTTAAAATAAATACCTAAATATGTAATTTAAAAAACAGGCCTGTACATTATGTTAAAATGAATGGGTCACAATATGCATTGTCCATACAAATATCTCAGTATGTTATCATAAATCTGAGAAAATACTTATGATCCAAAAACACCACTAAGAAGACAAGAAACAAAGAACAAGAGAGGTGAGCAAATATAAGAAAAATAGATTTTGCAGAAAAAAGCAAAATGATACCTGTTTGAGATCCAATGTAATGGTCACATAATGATATTCTATCCCATTCTGGATACTAGGACTCTGCCACCAAGTGTTCTTGCCATCAATTGCATTAGATATTGGATGTCGATCTATTGGATTGGTAGAAATACATTTTAAACATATTTTTAGAATGGTCACCAATGGAGTGGCTTAGTTGTAGCATTTAGTTAACACAGCATGCATGTATATGGTTGAATATGCCCACTGGGTGAAATTCATCCTAATACTGTTTGTTAAGACCATATGAATTATCCTAAGCACTGCTTGCATCCTAGGTGATAATATTTAAGAGGTCTTGTCTTGGCTTGTATGCATGGTTTGCATTGTAGTAATCATCACCTAGTAACAGCAAAAAATATTTTTCTTGCCAAATCACCTTTGTGATCCTATTTTGGAGAGTTATACAGCTACAGTTTTAAAGAACATTAAAGATTTGCTTCCACATCAATAGAAATTATGACTTTAACTGAGCAAGACAACATCTCTAGGGAAAAAATAAGCAGTTCATTCAAACATCATCTGTATCCAACTTCTATTTCTAATATAGAAGGAATGTATTTTTCTGAAGGCATTACATATCCAAAAAATATTACCTGTTTACTGAGAGAGACTTCCTAAAAATGCATTTTAATTACACACACACACACACACACACACACACACAATGCAGTGTCCATACAAATGGACTTTCTATCTATCTACATACACACACACAGCATATATGAAAGAAAACACACACTTGAAGAAAACAGAGTTATTAATGAATCTTAGATGTTGGGGAAGAGGAGGCTGGGATTAATCATAAATTGAAGAATATGTTGGCCTTTTATCCATTTTTTCAATCAGCTACCCAGATTGATAGTCTTTCTTTCTATAGTTTTTTTTTTTATCGTGTTAGCAGTCTGTGGAGGACAGGAATTCTGCCTCATTAATGAAAGCCAGAATGTCTGAACATATTTAAAGATACAATTAAAGTGCTTTGTGGGAGTGAAGGAAAGTGTCAGTCTTAAAACTGGAAATGCCAGAAATTTATTTAAATATCAAATGATTCAGTGGCATTAGTGGGCATCAACATTTGTATATTACATTACTAGTGGTAGAAATGGCGATATTATTAGCATTAGCTTTATAATTTAAAAAAACAAAACACAAAGAAAACCTTGTGCTCTAGGCATTGTCATACCTAACAGCTCTGATCATCTTTATAACTCCTGGCTTTAAAAGTGCTCTAGCAAAAATGATGTGTAAATCAGACTCAAGTTTCCTAGGTGATTCTGATAGAAGTTGTCTAATTGGAAATTTTGATATCAGTCCTCAGGTCAAATGTGTATTAAGGTTAGTCATGAAAAGAAAGGTTGCAAGGTGAATCAACAATTAACTGCAATGCCCATTATGAAAATTTAATCATAATTAATTTGAAAAACACTGATTAATTGCTGGCATGCATTCCATATTTAAAAAGGAAGAGAAATAATATAACATTTGTAAAAGGGATAGAACTGCAAATCTAATCCAAGGACCAACCCAACTGATTGATGACAAGGGGGATAGCTTAAAGAGTGGGTCCAAACTGTGCTCTTTAATTTGGGATCACATGTGATTAACCAGGGAGTTTGTGTTCATTTCCTTCTGCAGTAATTAAGGGGAGGCTCGTTCCAGACTCATATGTTCCAAGGGGATCATTTAAAGTCTGGTTACATTACATGGTGCTTTTATTAACAAGCTATCTCTGTTTAAATAAGGCAATTCCTAGTGCCAAATGAACGTTTTAAAAACCTTAAAATGTGAAGTGGTTGGCAATGTCAGACCAGGCATTCAAAAACCAGGCAGATGCAGGTTAACAACAGGGTAAGATAAAAACTGGTTGTGCTTTTCATACAGAAATGGGGAAGCAGTGGCTAGGTGTCTAGTATCTCTAGGTGTCCAGTGTAGGATACGGGAAAGAAAAGATCTGAAACCTTTGATGTGTGTGTGTGTGTGTGTGTGTGTGTGTGTGTGTGAACTGTTTGCAACTTGAAGTTGTCTGAATTTCCAGTACATTAGTGTTTTCATATGGAAAGAAAGGATGACACAATCTCTCAAGTTTATTTTAAGTTTTTTCTAATGCTTTTGAAAAACACTGAAAAACTGCCTGGATGGTACATGCTGAAGAAGTGGAAACTATTATTTAAATTATGTTACCATTAAAACCAAAATGATGACTGCAGAGACACCTAAACTAGCCTTTCAATGAACTAGATCAGATGCTAGACATGCTGTTTACCACTATAGCACAGAGCTCCACATGGGCTAATTTAACTTGCTGAAAATCCACTAAGCAGCAAGGTAAAATAGCCTACATGGAAATCCAAATATTTCAAAGTAGCCAAGCCAATGACCTACAGTTTCTTCTTCTCTCCATTTACTTGCCACTCTTTTGGATGTAAAATCCCAGAGCAAGAATGATCCTGAGGCCTTGTTACATTGCACTTTGAGCTGTTCAACTGCTGATCAGGGTTAGGGCCTCATTACATCTTACACAGTGAGCCACACATTTTGATGGGTTAGAGCTAGCTCGAGTTTGGAGCAGTCACATATTCAGGCCAGCAGAGGCCTGGAGGACTGAAAGAGAAGAATTCCACCCTCCCCCATTTCAGGCTTCCCCCCTCCCTCCCAGGGCTCCTCCTGTTCTTCCCTACCCCGGGGTCACCTCAGTGGTCCCCCTTGCATCTCATTGCTCCTGGGGCATTACTTACTTGTGGCTGCCTGTACTGTCTGTCCCACGGGAGCAGGCAGGGAAAGGTTAACATGCTTCCCTGGCCACTGCTGCAGCCAGGCTGCTGCTCTTCTGGCCCAGAGAGTAGTAGCTGCTGAAGCAGCACAGACAGTCACAAGTAAGTGGGGGAAGAGGATGGTGGGGCAGTGAGCAGGGTTCTGGGGTGCTGGACAGAACAGGGAGAGAGGTAGTGGGTAGGATCAGGGCCAGTCAGGGAGTGGAGGTGGGTGGGATGTTTATGTTAGGGTGTCACCTAGAGTGGCTACACCTTAACGTAACATGAGCTGGGTAGCATGGATCATAGATAATCTTGCCCTCCACTGGAGTGACATAAATTTGAGCATATAATGAGTGCTTAAAACCAGCTTTAGGTGTTAATATGCAGACAGTTCAGGTGTTAAGAACTCCAGAAGCTGCCCAAAATTGCCATGTAACAAGACCCTTAGTGCTAGCTCCAGTTTGGTGTAGTCCCACATTAAGGCTAAAGACCTTCTCTGTCCCCCATCTGCACAACTGTGACTTGCCACTAAAGGACTGATAAGCAGGGGTCTGACCAGGAGCTACAGCTGGAAATTGCCACTACAGGGCTTATGAACCAGGACAGACTTCTATCCCTGCTCTATGTGGGGGCCAAGGGGGGGAGGGACGGGCTGGTGGGGGGCAGAGGGACATGAAGCTGGGTGGTGAAGATTTAATGGGATGGGATTAGGTAATGAAATGGAAGGTGAAAAAAATGGAGGTGGGGGAAGGGTGGTGAAGTGAAGAAAGTCAGTCACTGAAGGAGGAAATAAAGTAGAAAAAATAATTTAAAAAGAAATCAAGAAGTCAATTCAAGGTCTAATGTTTTAGTAAATTGGGATTTGAGATTGGGGTGTGGGGACTGCTGCTCTTGCTTCCCATGATGGTTGGGAGGTGGGAGCAATGAGGGAAGGCATTTTGGGGGTAGGTATTGCCCCTGGCCTGGTAAGGAACCCCCACCTCATGGGGATCGAATCCGGTCCTTTATTTTGTCCCATCTCCCTCCCACCCCCACCCCTCCCCCTAGTTCCCGTCCATGCCCTGTGACCTAGCTAGCTGGCATGTGCTCAAAAGGCTGTTTGCACAGGGTTGCACCCCTGGGGGTGGGAAGGTCTTGCCCCAGGGGCAGAAGGGGGAATTGGCTCGGTGCTATAACTGCCCCACCAGGCAGTAGAGTTCAGGGTGTGGAACGTTGCCCACATAGAGCAGGAGGGTGGCAGAGGGACACTGCATCCTGGGATGCTGGAAGACTGCAACTTGGGTAGCTCATCTGTTGGGAATAGCCATATATTAATAAAACACAAGCTGTGTAATGTGGATCAGACATAAACCTATCCTGGAGTGTCTTAATTTTAAGCTGCCTGAAGTATCCTTAAAACTAGTTTCAGGTGTTAATGTGTAGATAATCCCAAGGTTAAGAGCCACCTAAAATTAATTTGTAAAAAGTCCCTAAGAAAAAACTAAAAAGAACCCTCCCACAGAAATATTTCTTCAAGACTGTTTTTTAACAGAACAAAACCAAGATTGCATACATACGATGTGAAATTTTACTGTCCTGATGACAAATACGACACTGGGGGTTTCTTGCTGGTTGTCCAGATACATGTTCAACCAGTTTGCAATACATTTCAGGTTCTTTTTCACCACAGGTAGCATTGGTTGTGATGACAGCACTAGTAGCCAAATTCAACACTGCTGGAAATAAGCCTGGAAAAAAAATAGAAGAGAGAGAATAGAGTAAATTCGGTAGTACAACTAGAAATGTATATGCCACATATTAATTCTTAAGACAATAAAGTGAAAGACCTAATATTCAATAGCTACATATATTATAGAAGAATATGCCACCATTTGGACTCCTTTATATTTTTAAACAAGTTTAAGACATCAAATTAAGGGCTATTATTAAATGGGTCTTCTTAATTATTCTCCTCTAAAACATACATTTGAATGAGCCGCACTGCTGTATTACTTGAAGAACAAGGTGCAAAGGTGTGTATAAAGAATCAGCCAAGAAGTTATTTCATAATCAGTTCAAACTCTCTAGTGACTGACAGTCTGAATGTTCTTTGAATTGCATATGCAAATGAATCATCTTTTAATTTTTCTCTTCTTTTTCTTTTCCATTATTCCTACACTCCATTTTCATCACCATGGTAGACTGTTACCCAGCTTGTTTTGCACTTGTTCCATAATTTATATTACATTACATTTTTAACCATATTACTGTTCAATGGAGGTTCTTATATAGTGATCATTGCCATAGCATCTGAACACCTTTTAACAGCACATGCTGTAAACTAATAATGTCTGTCACATGTGGCTTGTTCTCTCTCTCATCCTCTATCCAGGAAGTGTGTACAATATTATGCCTTGATTTGGCAATTTTTAGGAATGATTGCACTACTGTACGTATTACACCCTGCGATCCTCATTCAGTAAAGCATTTTAGCCCATGTTTAACTTTAAGCAATTGCTTGCGTGCTTTGCCGGATTGCATGCAATATGATAAACCACACAGCAAGCTATAAGAATTATAAGCCATAGGAGGAACAATCATTAAATCAGGCCTACTCCCCCATATCAGCAACACTGACCAAAGCCTGTGAGCTGTGGAAAAAATGATTTGCTTGGGCAAACTGATGTGTTAGGTTGAGCTTACACATTAGCCTTTCATGCCAGAAATAAATCAGTTTTACATCCTCAAAAATATAATTTAATATGGCTTCAAGTTAAACAAAACCAAACAAAAGACGTCCAGGTATAGCTGGTCTGAACTGAGGGTATCCAATCCCAATTACTACTGGGGGAGATTTGAAATGTGCCTTCCCCATACCTGCTTTATCTGGTTTAATCAACTAATAACTAACTATAATGAACATAAATGTAACCAAAAAACAAGGCTTTTGCCAAGACTGGACTTGAAATTGTTGCACATTTATGAAGCTCCCTTGGTGATATAACTCTCCACCTATTCCTTGATGTATTGTGCTAGCTGAATTAATACAGCATCATTCAGCTGATTCCTTTTGATCTGCTAACTCTGTTCTCCTTACTGTCCCTGCAATTAACCTGTGTGCCATTTAATTTCTGAGCTTGGTGGTCATGGTACAGTTATCCTCTGACATTAAAAGTTAGCAACTCTCATGTTCACTTTAAAACCATGTTAAGCACATTACTTGAGCAAGGCTCCGAATTAGGTACTAACTTGTCCAATTTGTACAGTCAGTCAATCAATAGCTGAGATTTTCATTGAATTTGCAGTTTTCTGCTCCTTTATAGATTACAGCCTACTTTCATTACATTTTAAAATGTGTATGGTTATATCTGCTGTATTTCTATTCAAAGCATTTACTGGTGTTTATTGCTATCTACATCAGGGTTATGTGGCAAAGAACCTAAGCATTGAATGACCTGTGATTCTCTGTAGAGAGTCTCCAATTTGACTTACAGCCTTGTTACTGCCACTTGAGGACAGGTAATGCTAATAGCATAAAAGCCAGAAATCATTGCATTTAATCCTGTAGACCAGCATAATAACTAACTTCCTAGAATGGGAGCCTAGTGAAAAGAGGAAAAGGTATCATGGGGAAAAAAATTACAGACCATGGTTTGGGAAAATAAACACAAAACTAGATTGAAAAAGGTAAAACAGCAAAGAAAAAGATCCCAGCAGTCCTGTCTCGCACTTTTTATACACGTTGACACTGTATTTTATTTATATGAACATGCATGTTAGTGTGAGCACACATTAAATAATGATCACCAAGGACCCAATTTTGCATTGATACTAATCCATTAATTTCAGTGCAACTCAGGACATAATTGGACCCCAAAGTCTTGCATATTATCAGAGTAAACACAGACAGCTATTGTTAGACGTTTCACTGAAGAGACATTGTCAAGGTCCCACTGCTTCAAATAGAATAAAACTTGTCACTTTCGATCCCTGGTTGTTTCATGAGAAAGAAGCTGACAGGAAGAGGGCAGAAGCCGCACCAAGTGCACAAAGCTCATTTTAAAATGCAGCCAGCACTCTAGGTTTGTCACTTAGTGAGCTGCCTTGCCTTGAAGCTAAGATTTTCTCCCACATTTAATGGACAAACATTCCAAATGCTCTTTTAACACAACCCTTGTTTCCGAAACGTGCTGCTTAGTTTTTTGTTTCGGGTGACATTTTAGAACACTATGAATAATATTTTAAAATGTTTTATTTTTCTCTCCTCTGGCAAAAAAACCTGTTTGCATCAGAAGAGAATCTTGAAAAGAGGCCATTTTGGAACGAAAATGTTGGCCACCATTCCTAGAGCTAGGGTTGCATTTGTGAAATTGTGCATCAATAACCCTTGTTTGCTTTAGCAACATTGAGAAGCAATGAATGAATTTCTTTGAAGATGCACCATTTAGGATTCATTTTGAATTCTGGATATAGAAGCAGTTGCCAAACCCCAATGACCAGCGCCCAGAATATATGTACTTCAACTTATTAATAAACTCTCTGGACAAAATCTGAAGCTGCTTTTAAAGCCAGATATGGTTAGACAGCTATTGGCCCTGGTGTACTTGGGTGGAGGATTGGTTGGAAAAGCCTCCATGGCTCAAGTCTAGATCACTTAAGAATGGATCCATGACTTAGTATTATCACCACCAATGTCATTAGTCTCTTCAAAAGATAGTGCCATATTCTTTTGGCAAAATAATAGCAAAGCAGTGCTAACATGAAACAGGATCCCCAAAATGGTGGCCAAGATTAAGGATAGCTGTGTGCGCATTACTTTTATCCCTGCAATAGACATCAAGGTTTGTATCAGACACATGAGGAAACACCTGCTGCAGTGCCTTTTCATGGGATGAGAAAACTGCTGCTGAAGCACCAAGTGCTCTTACCCAGCTGGGCTAGGGACAGAAGTTGAACATAAACCGGAAACTGGTTTACACCTGTAACAGAACAGACATTCAGTGCATGTAAACCAGTTTTTAAATGGCTGAAATTGTTTTAAAATAAACCTGCTACCTAATGTAGTATCAGACTTAACTGATTTTGGTCAAACTGGTTGATGAAACTTCTGCCCCAGATCCCTTCTTGGTTCAAGTTAAATCAGAGTCCCCCAGCATCCCAGCATGCTCTACAGTCCTGGGCTGGGCTGTGCTGTGCTGTCTGCTCCAAAGAGCAGGGCTGGCCCCTAGCTGGAGCAGTGAGAGCTGGCTGACAAAGGGGTGGGTTGGGGAGGGAGGGAAACCTAGCTGGGATGCAGCCCAGTCTACAGGGGGAGACTGCTCCCCTCCCTCCTCCCCCCCCAGCAAACCCCAGATGGGATCTGGGGCCATGAAGGGGGATTAAAACCCGCTTCCCTCACTCAAATTTACTGCTGGCTGTAACTATGGACTACAAATCCCAGAGGCACCTAGAAGCAGGAAGAAGAAGTGATGAGCAACTCTGCAGAGTCCTGCTGCTGTGTTTTTGGACTAAAAATCCCAGCAATCTTGGGGACAGCAGGAAGAAGAAGCAAACACACAGCTCATATTGGACATGCCAGAGAGCCATGCTCTTGTGCCCCCCAGCTTCTGGCCAAAGGCACTGCAGGAATATAGCTGCATTTCATGAATGTCTGTTCACTTCTGTTTCAATTTAATCTTTGCAGTTTAGACTAACCTGCATGACTGAATCAATTCAACCTCAGGCTTTTTGACCATCTGTACTAAGCCCTGGAGAAATAATTCCAGCTGAGTATCCTCATAACCCATGGTCCTCTTCATACCTATGTAAAGCCCAACATTTTTGGCCCATGGGCCAAATGAGCAATGCCAGGTCTGTCCACATACCTAGTGGAGGCCCAGTCCAGCCACACAAAAACAGCCGGGTGGCAGCCACAGCCATCAGGGAATTGCCCAGTTAGGGCACTGCCATGTGGGGCTGAGGCCCAATTGGGCTGGGCTCCAGTTCAATCCAGCTATGTGGAAAAAGGACCCAATCCCTCTGCATGGGGCCAGTCTGGCTGGGAGTAATCCCAGGACCCAATCCCTCTGGCACAGGGCTTGGAAATTTGATGGCAGGGGAACATCAGCATAGTTTTTCTGTTGCCAAATTTCCAGACCTGTAGGGAGAACCAGAGGTCAGATTTCATGGTTCTGCAGGCCAAATCTGGCCTTCAGGCCAGGAGTTGAGCACTCCCAGCAAAGCCCAAAAGAGACTGTATTTTAAGGATCAGCCTGTTTATAAGTGTGTTCAAGGGGAGAGATTGCCATTTAGACTGACCCACAGCAACCAGGGTGAATAATACATTTCTGATACAGGCATACAATTCTAGCAGTTCAGAAACTGAAAGCATGTAAAAGCTTACATGATAGCCAGGACTTTTTAACCTTTAAATGGAGATGCCAACACAGCTGTGAGCTATGACAGACTGTTTGCACATTCTTTGGTACCTTTCTGAAAGTTTTACATCCCACCTTTACAACAAAGGCAGTTGACAAGAAAAATCAAAGACATGGAAGGTCACATTTTAGACATTCATTCAAATAACTTCTCAGAAGGAAAAGCGAGAGAGAAACCAGAAGGAATCAAGAGAGGGGGAGAGAGAGAGAGAGAGAGAGAGAGAGAGAGAACAAGAGCTCCAGATAGGAAAGGAAGGCCTGAGAACCTGTAGGAAAGGGAAGTGCCAGCCGTACAGAGCTCATGCCCTCTGGCCAGATTTTTAAAGGTATAT